ATTGAATGCTGTGGGAGTTCAGAGCAATGGGAGGCCTGGTAGATAAACTAATTAGAGCTAAGATGTCATTAAGTAAAAATAACAATGTATGTTTTCTCCCTGGTAACAGAGTTCTTAATGCAAAAAAATAAGTAATGGTGAAAATTTCAGGTACCACTTAAGGTCCATGGGAGAAATATTTTTAGGATATGTTTTGCATAAGCAATGCCTTTGAGAGCCTTTCAGATGATACCAAGCACAAGCAGGCACATGCTGATATGTGGGACCACACCTGTTAGCAGGTAGGACTTTTGAGAGAGTCCAGCAGGGTGAGTAAAAGAAGCAGGAGCCCTGGGTTCTAGGTGTGTGCAACTTAGAACATTCCTTGAGTATGACTTCCACTAAGTAGCTGTGCTGTTTTAAAGAAAATAAAATTAAGCACACATAGTGAAGTCACTTTCTCTCAAGCTATTTCTTCATCACCACCATCATAAACAGGAATTTCTTGATGACCCATACTATGCAAAAGGCATTGTGCTGAGCCCTCACTAGATGGTGAAAAGAGTGTACGACACAGTATTTACCCTCAGAGGAGGCTGGATGACAGGGTAGGACAAATAACGGGAATCCTAAGACTCAGGAAATCTGCTGTGTTAACATAGAAGGATCTCAGATAAAACAAGGCCTCTGGTGTCCTGAAGGCCAGAGGAGAATCTTGATGTTCTCATTTCTAGAGCTTTTTAGGGCACAGCGTCTCAGACAGGTTCATCTCCAAACTCAGGTTCTGAGGTTTATGCTAGTGATGAGCAGCCTTGGTCCATAGATCTCATGTGGCTGGCAAGTATCAACATAATTCAAGGTGAAAATTTAAAAATTTGCCTCTGTATTGCTACTTTTGAAATGTATACTGTTTTAGTGATGATGAAAATACAGGTCAGTTTTCTTCATTGACACTTTTCAGTCAATAAAGTTGAATTATTTTCCTTTGAAGCTCAATCAAGTTGTTTTTTTTTAATGGATAAAATGTAGCCTACATGTATTTTTATTATCTTCACACCAGTCCTTGTGCACAGAAAGGTGGTTCTCTCACAGTGGACAGTCTCCGAGGGAGCTTACCCCTGGGATCATTCCCCCGTTCCTTCCTTCTCACTACCTTAAACATTCCTTCCGTCTAATTGAACAAGCAGCTGAGGTAGCCTTTCTGCTCCATATCCCCCTTAGAGGTACCAACATCATTCAGGGACGGTATGTTAAGTAACCCTAACCACATGAGAAAAGAACTCTCATGCAAAGTCATATGCACACTTCTGAGTGGAGAGTCAGGCAAGGGATTGTGGAGGAAGGTTTGAGCTAGGCCTGACAAGCTGGACAGGATTTTGACACGCAGGGTGTTCCAGACAGAGGGCAAAGTGCAAAGTAAGTTCCAGGACCACTGTCTATCCAAATTTGACTGGAGTAGAGAGAGTTCTGGAGAGTAGCAGGAGCAAAGACTGAAAAGGTATGTAGGCATGACAAACCTGACAAGTAGTAAAAATGTAGAATGATTAAGCAAGGGTGCTTGGGAAGGAAAAAAAATCATTAGAAATCCTTGAAAGTCTATTACTTATGGATAAGCACTGTTTCCATTAGAATGTGTATTTTTCAGGTATTTTAATATGCAACTATATTTAAGAACAGAAATAATATCCTACGTATAATTTTATAAGCTTCTTTTTATGATAAATATATTATGTAGGTCAATACATGCCAGTCATTATATAACTGCACATAATAAAGATGGCAGTTGAAACAAACAAAAAAATGGCATAGGCATCAAGCAGAGAAGTTAAAGAGTTAAATCTGGACCTTATTAGGATTAACCTCCCACTAGAATGCAAGACAGCTTGTGGAAGGGAGGGAGGACTGATGGCAAGAACCTTAGGTATGAGTGTTATATAGTTCAGGCCAGAGGTGCAGGAAGCCATAGCATTTACTGTGGTGGATATCAATCTCATCAACTCGGACTGATGCCAGGCCTGATAGAGGACAATGCCTGAAGAGACCTAAAAGACAGCGAAAGCTCATCCATCTCATAAGTACCTCCCCTGCTCAGGTGCAGACTGGAAAATTCCAGGCAGTTGATTTTGGCAGTCAAAGTGAGAAGTGGATCCCTTTTTTTCTGCTCCTCTCTTCCCCACCTTCCTGTGGAAGGAAGTAATGGCAGTAGCAGTGGAAATAAGCAAATCTCACTGCTAGTTTACAAGGTTCATTATTTTTCCAGACACCACCACAGTACTGATGGCCTCCTTGGTGGCAGAAACAGCAGTTTTTCTTTCTCTCCCTTAATATGTAAATATATTTATTGTTTTTTTTTTTTAATTATAAAAACATGCTGGTTGTAAAACAAAGCTAAAGCAATACAGAAACTTATGTAAATACAAGGTAAAGACTCCTTTGTAATTAATCTCTTCCCAACCCTCCCCCAAATTCTACCAGAAATAACTCTAATAAGTGGATGAATCTTTCTATGCATTTGTAAACATGTATGTACAACTATACATATAAAATGGGCTCATGGTGTACATGTTACGTAACCTAGTTTTATTCCCAGTTCGCAAATGCTGTATCATTGACAGCTTTCCATGTCAATATATATATCAACAGAAGCAGCAGTTTTACATGGTGTTTTTTGGGGGGGATGGAGGGTGTGAGTGGTGGTGGGGTATTGAGTGGTAGGGTAGCCACTGTTACAATTTGTTTCTGATACAGCTGTTAAAAGTTGACAGCTAGGAAGCAGGTGACAATATTTGATATTTATAGATCTTCAAATCTGAATCCCCAGAGATCATTTTCCTCCTTCCCCAAGTCACCAAGAGGAAGATAGTTTGCCTGGAAGGGTAGAAATCAAAATGTCTATGGAAGTTTATTTTTTTTATGTCAGGATCTGTTATCTCTTATTTATATTTTCCATTTTATACAATGTCTTTTTAAAATTAAACCAATTAAAAAAATCATTTTATTAAAGAAACCAATCATAGCAATTAGGAAATTAAAAACTTTTTGTACAAATTTTTGAAAGCGTAGAGTTTGACAGCTTTATTACTTTTTATTTCCCTCTGAAACTGATTAGCTTGCTAAGTAATTTGTATGGAAACTCTTTTAGAAATAAGCTTGTACTATTTTCCTAGGGCTGCTGTAACAAAGTACAAGAAACTCGATAGCTTAAAACAACAGAAATATAACTTCCGGAAGCTAGAAAGTGTTGGTAGGGCTCTCTCTGCAGACTCTAGGAAGTATCCTTCCTTGCCTCTTCCTAGCCTCTGGTGGCTGTGGCAATCGATGGCTTATAGCTGCATCCCTCCAATCTCTGCCTCATTGTCACGTGGACTTCTTCCCTGAAATCAATGTGTCCTTTTTTTTTTAAAAAAAGGACACCAGTCATTGGATTTGGGACCCACCATAATCCACTTCATCTTAACTAATTACATTTGCAAAGAACCTATTCCCAAATAAGGTCACATGGTTTGAGTGGATGTGAATTTTTCAGAGACACTCACTATTCAATTTACTACAAGAAATAGTTTAGTCTAGAAACACTTAAAAATATAAATTCGCACATTTTGAAGAGCTTGTTTGACCCTATCAACTATATAACCTCTGTGGTAATCAATCTTAAATGTATGACTCTCCTATAGAACTGTGTCGACAAGTTAGTCAGGGATGTTCACAGCAACATTTTTTGTAGTGGTGACAAATGGGAACTAAATGCCCATCAACTGGGGACTGGTTAACTAAATTATCATATGTCCGTGCCATGTATATTCTGCAGACTTTAAAAAGAATGAGGAAGATCTGAGTGTCAGAAATGGATAGATTAAATGGACACCCAAGATAGAGTAAATGAAAAAAAAAAAACACCTCAGTGGACAGCGTTTAATATGCTTCCATTTACAAAATAAGCTCCTACAAATTAAACAACTCTACATTTCT